GATGATTAGTTTGTCCGCTGGGCCTAATCTTAATGAATGTATTAACTTTGTCATTTTTTGTTTGTTTGTTAAAGTTTAACCTTTGTCACTTAAGATTAGAAGGTAGGCAAGTTCATAAACATGGAGTTATAGGTAAAAAAAGGTTGATGAGGGAAATGCATAAATCCATTTTGCCAAAATTTCGACTTCAACTAGAAAATAATTTTGTTGTGCATAAATAAATCAATAGTTGGGATTTCGTCTAGTTGTTCACTTGGTGGACTATCTTTTTTGGCTAGTTAGTTCATCCTTAAAATTAGTCGGACTCATATAACATAACGGTTACGTTATATGCATCTTTGCAAAAGCAAATTGAACTTAGTTCTTTCTATTCTAGTATCAGATCCAAACCACCAAATTTTTTTTTTTTTTTAAGATATCGTGAGAAGAAAAATTAAGAGGAAATTGAACTATAGAATAAGATAATTTTCTTCCTCAAATTTGTCGAGGAAAATGTTATTTTAATTATTTTCTTGTTTTCGATTTTCCATAATAAATATGTGTGATAAATGATGAATGTACAGTAAACCTCTATTCAGCTTTAAAAACTTACAAAAACATATCACTCACACCCAAAATGTTGATGATAATTTTCGATCTAACCTATTTGACTAGGTAGCTAGCTAGAGAGAAAATTAGTTCCATGTTTCTATTTTTTATAAGAGTTAGTTCCATGCATGTGTTGAGCTATCAGCTATTATCTAAGATTATCTTCTTCCCTATCTTCTTGCATTGCTTTCATGACAATTATTTTGATAGACTACTAGTACATAATCTATAACTAGTAATCCATGTTCAGCTTTAGTCTCTCTAGATTAACGGTGTTGCTTCAATCGGGTGAAGCAAGTCCATTTATTATACTTTGCATGTATACTCATCAAACTGAGAACTATAAGTTGATCCAAAAAAAAAAATAGAACTATGTTTTTTCTTTTGAGAAAAAAAAAAGTAGTAGTATTTATTTTTAAGAAAACATGAAAGATGGCCGTGGTATATAACTGGAAAAACAATCTTTCTTGTAAGAAAATTGTTATTTCCAGACATTTTCCTATAAAAATGAGAGAATGCGAACACTGATCAATTACATAATGTTAACTAGATAGTTATCCGCGTTATACGCGGGACAACGTGATACGTTAGGAAAATCAATATAGTTTTAGTTTAAAAAATCATTTATAGTTATCGGAAAAATTATTATACGGAATCTAAAATTCATTTATATATATATATGAATTTTGAAATTATATTGTTTAGAAAAGTATCCCCCGTTAAATAATTGAAAACAACAAATTTATATATCACTTATTAATAAAATATATTTATTTAATATCATAATTTTCAAAAATACGGGTTATGACTCAAATATACAAAATAAAAGATTGCAAATATGAATTAAATTTTATAGTTTTAAGGTAATTATAAGAGTAATTGAATATTTATAGTAAACTTTCTTTTATTTTTGTTAAAAAAAAAAATTCTAATGATTGTGTGATTGTGTAGTGTTTGGGTAGTAGT